CTACTCTATCTCAATATGGACCAACATATAACAACAATAACAAAATAACATATGGAGAAATGTACTTCATACAGTCTAAAGTTTATTCAACAACTCTCACTCTTTCTGCAGTGCGTTGCTAATATGCATGTTATGTCAGGTCAAGATAAGTAAGTGCCCCTAAACCTCCTTACATTGTGACTTCTCTTGCCTCAGCACATTTCACCTGGAGTTATGACAAGTTATGGAGGTCCAGAGGATTAGGTGTCGTGTCGCATGCACTGCTGCCCAGTTCAAGAGGCTATAAGCGCTCGGTGGGGGGCACACATTCTCTGCGTGAATGGAAAACCTGTTAAGGAGGTCAGGAAATCTCACGTGAGGCAGACGACAAAGGTCTGCCAGGGTCTTCAGAAGGCCTCCCAGACAGACTGTTGGACCAATGAGGAGTTAACCAGCTTAGGCAAAGCAAAAGACAATCTGCTCTCAGCCACTGGGAGAGAGGGGGCTTGGACATCACCTCTAATGCGCTTTCAGAAGATTGTTGAAGTGCACTGATGGCGATTATTTTAAGGACAAAAGTGAATGGATGTTAAAGTAGGGCATAAATCATTATGAATGATCTGGATAGTAGTAAAAATGTAAAATTCCAAACAAAAACAATGTAAGACCTGTATTACTGTGAGTAAATCTGAAAGTGACAGAGGCCAATTAATTACATTTATTTACATGTACAAGCCTTTATCCCAAAATGTCACATGAAATGATAAAATGGATAAATGACCCAAAGCCTCTGCTGCACTCTACACTCCTAATAAGTACTATAAAATATATATATAACAAAATTGTGTGAATATCAGAGCGTACTACAGTGAAAGTTCCTCTTGTAACAATCACATTTTTCCAAAAATATATGCATGTGAAAAGTAATCTTTATTTATATAGCGCCTTTCACACACCAGAGTCACAAAGTGGTTTACAATATTGTTGTGGGCATTTCCCCTCTTACTCCACCTATAGTGCATGTTTTAGTGGTACGGGAAACCTGGGTGAAACCTACAGACACGGGGAGAACATGCAAATTCCACACAGAAAGATTAAGAGATCCTATATTCGTCCCACGGTGGGGAATGTCAGTGTTGCATCCCCAGTTAGAACAGTATGAATGAAGAGCACACAGCACAAGATAAATTACCAATAATTCTATACTAATTAACAGAAAACAAAATCTGAAACTAAAAATCTATATCTCTATCAGTATAAAATCTCTATTTTTAACAAATCAGAAATATCTGGAGCACAAGCGCCAATACATACTCATTACATATTTGTTGTGGTTCCAAAGTTAAGTAGGCTACTCCAGTTTTTACAGTGCACAGGCTTATTATGCAAGTTCCCTTTTTGAGGATTTTTTTTTTTTATCCTTGTCATTTTGATCCACATAAATGATTACTGACATGCATAACTTACTATGTCAGTAAAAGCAGGATAAGGATTTTAGGAATAGCCCTTTATCCGGAGAATCTATCTGTTTGTTGTGATTTTATGCAAAAGTTTGAGAGCAGAGATACAGGCAACTCTATAAAAGCCACAGATAGTTTCCCCGCGTGTGTTGTTGCCATGCTGTGGAACACTTTGGTTCATGAGAGGAGTAATCCTGAATAAAAATAATGGTTCTCTTGTATCACATTTTGATGTAGATGTCCAGTAAGATAGATTTTGCTATGCCCATACTACCCATCTTCAGACAGAGTAGCGGGTTGTTTCCTCCATCCTCTCATGTCATCAGTTTATAAAAAAGACTTGACCCATTCTAAACATTTCAGGCTGTACGTCTCGTTCAGTGGAGGTCGGCTTGGACCAGTTTCCCTCAGCACCACTTTGTACTTCGAAACATTTTATAACAGTTTAGTTTCAATATCCATCACTGGTAGATAAGACTGAAGATTTTTAGTGGCTTTGTGTTTTTCTCTAGTGTCTGGCTGTAAATGAGCATCTGGTAATGATCTCCGTATGACCCTGCAAGCTACTGCCAAGAAAATGTTTGACGGTCGAATGTATTTGATATTTCAAGTGTGCTAATATACTGTTTACTTTTTAGAGCCTGTCAAATATTCCTTTCTTTCCATTCTGAAATGTCCCTAGCGTGGGGAAAATAAAGGATCCCTTAATCTTGCCTAGAAATTCTAGCTCTGCTCTAGAAAGGCCCTACTTTGACCACACACCAGACAGTAAATGGCCTTCACCACAAACACTGTGTCTCTCATGTTGACACCACCGTAGCTTGGAAATGTGAACAAAATGACCATTTCTCCACAACAACTCCCTTCCATAATACATGTGCACACACTGCATTTGGTTACTATCAATGTATTAAAGCTTTGTATCTGCAGTATATTGTTTTCCCATCTGAAATGTTTGCACAGCATTACCTCCTAATAGTAAACAATAGTAAAACAAGACACAAAAACACTTCTGTTACTCTCAGTAATCCCTTTAGTTTTGGAAAACTGTTATTTTGTGTCAAAGTCAGTAGTTAATGGCAGACTACTGTGTGATAATTGTGGCTGTAATAAGTGGTCTGTGTGTGTTGTTGATGGTGCTCCATTACACATCTCTTCCACAAACAGCAGACGTCCACCTGCTGAGCAGCCACACGTGTTGGCGAGTGCCCCGGGGGCAGCTGTAACTTTGAGCACAGAACTTTCCATAGAGTCAGACAAGCCGTTACACGAGCAGCAGCGTGCTATGCTCCTCACTATTGCAACTGTGGAGGACAGTAGGAAGAGTAAATGTTTGGAGTAAAGTAGACTTGGACCCAGAGGCCATAGGAGCACTGTTACACCTCAGCGTGTGGAGGTCAGCAGAGGGCAGACAAATACCAAGCATTCCTGATCAGGCCATTCCTGTGTCAGCGCCACCAAGATTCATTTCAACTATGTTGACACGGCTTCCATTACTTACAGTATAACTTCACAAGTTTAACACGTTTTGTGGAGTGTAATCCTTAACCTGGACCACATCAAAGTTGTCGCCTGAACAGTGAGACATTTCCACTTCTATTCACAACTCATTGTAAAAAGAAAATTAAAGGAACCCAAGTTGTGTTTTGTCAGAGGCTTTTGCTGCTTGTGAGTAATCTGTGTAAATTCCATTCCCATCTTCCTTATTGTTTGCTTCAGTCAACCCAAAGACACAGTTCCAGATGGATGCGTTATCTGCAGTTCATTTCAGTGGAATCCAAAAGAGAACACTCAAGTGGCTGACACAGCACTTCTCTCAGGTCGGACGAGACGCTCCTAACTCTGCTCTGTGATCTACAGCTCATCATTGATTATCTCTGCGCTCAATGAACACAAGTACAAAGTAACTATCAATCAGCCAGGGGCCAGTGTCAGGGCCCCACACACAGGTCAAGACCCTGCTCTGCTTTCAACTTTAATATCCACAAATGTGTTCAGGTCGATGACTCTAGTTCAAAGAGTGCAATCTTTACACTGTTACCCCCAAGTGTTTGTGACTGCAGAGCTTGAGCCTTATTATACTGACGGCGGACATTATACACAAACCTGCTAGTTATAGGTACAACTCAAACTCATCAGAGTACTTTTGTGCAGTCTCCAGCCCAGATAAATAGCAGTTTGGTTCCCTGTCCAGTAATGTGTGATTGTGGATATTGGATTGGATGTTGTGGACCGTGATGCTGTTGCTAATGAATACACAAAACAAATATCAAGTCTATTTGGAATGTTTTTTTGTGCTTAGTATTTCTTCCCCTTATGGAGTAGGACTTAATTACTCCTCCGCAAAGAGTAGATATTTTTATGACATAACACATAATATGGGCTTCACCCCACTCCACGCCTGGGAACCTTTTCAGTCCTCGTTCTACAGCCTGAGTCCTGAATCTACAGGGCTATGGAGGGCATTTCTTTGACTCGTTCCTTGAGGAAGCAACATTTATGGACATTGGTCATTCTGTTCCCTGTTTAGACCAATGGCTTCTATGCGTTTGTTATTACTGCATTTCCAATGTTAACATTGATTCTCTGATCTGTAGTTGTTGAATCGACAACTTTGTAAAGTCCTTCAAGACACCTGCTGTTATTTTATTAAATTAATTGAATTGAATATCCTGCAGACATCTCCACTTTCACTTATTGATGAAAACACTAGCTAGGTAATACCCATATGAAGTACTTAAACACATATCATCAGAAAAGTATGACAAATATTCACTTTAAAAGACATATTTTATCCACGTAAACTGTTCACAGCAAATGTCATGATTTATTCTTAATATTAAAAGCAATTACCAAGATGGACACATTATTCATTCATTCATTTCATGTTCGGGATTTCCAGTCATTTTGGTCTCTACCACAAGCCAGCAGCAGCATGTGTCGTCTATCTGCACCTGAACCGCAGATAGAACACAGCTCTAGTCATAAATAGAACTTTGTAATATCAGTAAGTGCGCAAACTACATGCACTTCCTTTCAGTCTTGCCTTTTCATTCAGTGTCCTGGGAAATACACTTAATTGTGGAAGACCTTTGTTACCCAGAGCCCGCACAGTGGCAGCCTTAAGCTGATTACAACAGAAAGAGCACCCAGAGAACAAATGAAGCTTAATCAGAAAGTCCCCAGCCCTTACAAAGCTAAAAATGAACAAGACAACACATCATCTCTTCCGACACCCGTCTTATGGAGTGTCTTGGCAGTAATCGGTGTTGACTGTGTTCAGCTGTATAAACAGGTAGAGATGACAGCTGTTTCAGAGACCGATTGAAGTACCGGTAAGTCCATAGAAACTCTCTGTTAAGTGCACAATCCACTGCGTAGCTGAGACATGAACCAGTTGTGGGTGGAGTGACGCCTCCTGCACCCTGAGGTGAAGACAGGAGCTCTTTGCATTATACAAGAGTAGGGTTTGGTTTGCAACTGTGTCAAAAGGTAACACGAGATTAGTTCAACAAAGAATAAAGCCTTAGGTATTCTATATCGATGGGGGTCGTTGTGTCCTTATTTCAGTCCCTCTTTAAGCTTGGCCTCCAAAAAGTTCTGGATTTTCTGCACGTTTTCCTCCTGCTGGTCCAGGGCTTCGAGCAGCAGTCCCATGGGAGACCGCTTCAGTCCTGCCAACTCCATCTTGTTCTCCAGTTTGTTCTTCATGTTTCGCAGACGAAAAGAAGCGTGGATGACAATCACTGAAAGTACATGGGATTGTATCTTAATTAGTGATAATAAATAATAAAGCAATGGTTTATACAGTGCTTTTTGGAAACTCAGACTTTTCATGGCAAGATTCTTTCACCCCATACATGGTGGTGATAAACTACTACTAGACTGGACTGACAGAAGTGAGGCAACCATTATGTGCCATTGGCCCTTCCGACCACCACCAATCATTCATGCACACATGAAACTCATGCTGGGCAGTGTGGGTAAAGCGTCTTGCTGCTTACATGCTGTATTTACAATACGTGGGGAACTACAATGTAGGCCACACATTGAATATATAGAATGTAGGTTCAATGAATACAGTTACAAATGTGGACACCTACAGTGCGCATTTTGTGTGTTTTGTTGCCTCGAAACCTGGAATTAAGATGGTTTGTTTGAGGATTTGAATCTATCAATTTACAGAACATGCCCACAACTTTGAAAATGTTGTCTTTTTTATTGTGAAGCAAACAACAAATAGGACAAAATAACAGAAAAGGTCAATGTCAATACTAAGTCAATACTTTATAGAACCACCTTTTGTGGCAATCACAGCTCCAAGTCGTTTTGGATAAGTCTATGAGCGTGCCACTTCTTACCACTGGAATGTTTGCCCATTCCTCCTTGCAAAACTGCTCCAGCTCCTTCAAGTTGGATGGTTTGCACTTGTGAACAGCAATCTTTAAGTCTGACCACAGATTTTCTATTGGATTGAGGTCTGGGCTTTGACTAGGCCATTCCAACACATTTACATGTTTCCCCTTAAAGCACTGAAGTGTTGCTTTAGCAGTGTGTTTGGGGTCATTGTCCTGCTGGAAGGTGAACCTCTGTCCTAGCCTCAAATCACGCACAGAGTGGTACAGGTTTTGCTCAAGAATATCCCTGCATTTAGCACCATCCATCTTACCCTAAACTTTGACCAGTTTCCCAGTCCCGGCTGCTGAAAAACATCCCCACAGCATGATGCTGCCACCACCATGTTTCACTGTGGGGATGGTGTTCTTTGGGTGATGTGATGTGTTGGGTTTGCGCCAGATATAGCGTTTTCCTTGATGGCCGAAAAGTTCAATTTTAGTCTCATCAGACCAGAGCATCTTCCTCCATACATTTTGGGAGTCTCCCACATGCCTTTTTGCAAACTCAAAACGTGCCATTTTTTTTTTTTTGCTGAAAGCAATGGCTTTCTTCTGGCCCCTCTGCCATAAAGCCCAACTCTATGGAGCGTACGGCTTACTGTCGTCCTATGTACAGACACTCCAGTCTCTGTTGTGGAACTCTGCAGCTCCTCCAGGGTTACCTTAGGTCTCTGTGCTGCCTCTCTGATTAATTCCCTCTTTTCCCGGTCCTTGAGTTTTGGTGGGCGGCCGTCTCCTGGCAGGTTTGCTGTTGTGCCATGTTCTTTCCATTTGGTTATGATAGATTTGATGGTGCTCCTGGGGATCAGATTTTGATATTTTTTTATAACCTAACCCTGACTTCTCAACAACACTGTCCCTTACTGGTTTGGAGAGTTCCTTGGTCTTCATGGCAGTGTTTGGTTAGTGTTGCCTCTTGCTTAGGTGTTGCAGCCTCTGAGGCCTTTCAAAAAAAGTGTGTACATGTACTGACAGATCATGTGACTCTTAGATTGCACACACGTGGACATCATTTCACTATTTATGTGACTTCTGAAGGTAATTGGTTGCACCAGAGCTTTTTATGGGCTTCATAACAAAAGGGGGTAAATACATATGCACATGCCAATTTCCAGTTTTTTATTTCTGAAAAATAGTTATGTATATATTTTCACCTTCACCAACTACTGTTTTCTGATCCATCACATGAAATTCAGATTAAAAAAACATTGAACTAAAGGCTGTAATGTAACAAAATAGGTAAAAAGAGGGTGAATACTTTTGCAAGGCACTGTAAGGCCGGTGCTGGGAGTGACTTACTGTAAAATATTCCTTAAAACAATAACATTTGTGAAATATTACATGGAATTATATGACGCTATAATTGGATTTCCCTCAATAACAATATTAAAGATTATACACCTGAAAGAAATACTTATGTTTAAGGAACTACTCCCAGCATTTAAAGAAAAAAATATTACATAATAATAAAGTAACTAGTGTAGAATAAAAATCAATGTAATTAATGCACTGTGACATTGATTACAATTAAGCTTTTTTAGACTCCCTCGTGCGGATCCTATTAGTGCCTGGACAGTTTCTGGTAGTGTAAAGTAGTGTTTTTGAACCAGTGTGCAGTGGCACGTTCGAGTGCCTTGAGATGTTGTTTGTTGTGCCTTTGGGAATGATCCATTATCACCTGATATTATATGTTGTATTCCTACTGCTCTATATAAAGTTCCTGTATATGCAGAACTGCTCTGCTGTGTTCGGTATATAACTACATTGCTTTTAATAGACTGGTGTTACTGGATGGAGGCTGAAGTGGTCACATCCAGTAACATGTGGATCTTGATTGACACATCAAACTTACATATAAGAGGTAGCGTGATGGCAGTCATGAACACGGTCACACTTCCCAGCAGAGACAGGACAAAGTAGCTGGCTGCCATGACAACAACCACGAAAGAGGTGGGATTCTGCCTCTTGAAGTTGTTAATCGCTGCCTTATTGTCTGCTGCCCAGAGGGAGCCCAGGAACACTGCTGTCACCACAGCCATGGCAGTGAGCATGCCCAGCGGATTAAGGAACCTGCAGCAAAACATAAGTTAAGTGTTGTATAGTCACTGGCTCCATCTAGTGGATGGAAATGAATCCTACACGCTTCTGTTTTTACATTTCAATAATAACTAGAACACTTGTAGATTGGCCCACACCATCTTTTAAAGAGGATTTTCCCATTATCACCATAGACTGTAAATATGAATTTATATAATCACACACAATCTACACACCAGGTTTCAGATTAATCCAATTTAAAGCTCTCAGAGAATCGGTGAAAAGATACAATATGTTCTAAGATGCACACAGCACTATGCTCATTGTGGATCTAACTCATTAGGAATTAAATCAATAGAGCATCAATAAACCACAAGAGGATTACAGCATAGCACATTTCAGACTATTTGACAGTTTTAGAAAGTTAGCTAAACTAAATTCCTAAATACAGTTGAAGTTTAGAGTATCTAACTTTAAACTAACGAGAACTGCACATTATAAACGAAACCCAAACATCCACTCATCCCATTCAACAAACCCGGAGTAAGGATTAAGACACTTACCCGACAAAGAGAAACACAACCGCGGCGAGAAGCAAGTAGTTTGTCTGGTAATAAAGCAAGTTGCTCACTACTCTATTGTTCAGTCTCGCCATGTCATTAAAATCGGGTTTGGCGAATCTCTCGGACCCGGGAAAGAAGTCATCCCAGGACCTGAGAGGTGTGATTTCGACTTTGGCCATTTCTGTAGCGGATAATTTACTGAGCTAATATCTGACACAAAAAGAACACACGGAAACCACCTGAAAAGACAACACGAGAGAAAGATCGCGAGAGTTTGTTGACAGCGGATTTTGGTGAATGTCGCCTCCTGAAAGCGCTAGAGAGAGCGTGATTCTGTGGCCGCCATGTTACGTGGTCATGTAAAGAAGAGCAGAGCAACATGTCACAAAATAATGTTTGAACGTTTTCTAGTAATGCAGACACCTTCACCTGACTCCATCAAGAGAGTTAAGTTATTCAGTTCAGCCTAGTATGCATTAGGTGAATGTAAATAATATAAATGATTTACAATATTTACATTTTACTGTAACACTGGCCTCTCAAATAGGCCTTTTAAGGCTGAGGCTTTGGGTTTTGGTAATTCTTTGAATACATTTTCCAAACTGATGTCACTGTAGGGAGCCTCACTCCTAGAAAATCTGTGCTTTAGCGCTCTCTGGGATCCTGGTGTTAATGTTTTTTTATATTGTCTTTGTAAATTCATATAATAGCCACATAAGATTTGACCAATCATGTTCCTTCATTTGCTAGGGGGATACTCCAGTTTGCCACAGCTAACCTCATCTGAAAAATTTCCAATTTCAAGAAATTTGCTCTTGCCAGCTTGTTTGGCAAACACTGTCGGTAACGTCGGCACTCGGTCAGTCCACTCCTGCACTGGGAGAGAAAACCCCCCTAGTCCTACTACAATGTGCATGAGGGTTGTTGAAATTTTCACAAATCTTGCATAATGCCCATTTCTGATTATTCTCGAGAAAACTGCGTTCCATGGTAGTGTGAAAGTTTGTGGGATTAGCTGCCTTCACCTGGTTTGTTGTTTTGTCAACATTTCACCACGGCTACAATATTAATTTCCCTAGCAACATGGCTGCTGGAACGGCTGGAACCGAAAGAACGTAATCATAAAAATGTTCTCTCTAGGTTTTCTAATACGATTTACAATTAATATTATAAAGAATCATGAGCCAAAATATTTTATAAGACAGTGGATTTTTACATTAAAAACATTTATAAAAATATACACAACAAATATTGAGCTTTTGTTGAAATCTCCAATTCCGATGACGTTCTCACACCCGATTGGCTCATGGCCACATGCCACTCACACACTTCCTGTTTCTCTCGTCAAGTCTGATGCTGGTCAAACCCGGTCAGATCTCGTAGAATCTGTTTGTTAAGTATTTCTATTGGAAGTGGGAGTGCTATCAAGTTTTCTGTAATATTGTAAAGTAAGCTGCAATACCTTACAAGTAACTCCTGTCATCCGCGTAAACGGGCTGTTCAGTCACGCTGTCAGCTTGTTACGTGCATCGGGCACATGCATTTCTCGGATGTGGGGTACATTACTTCGTCCTCTTGTGGTTGGTAGGGCATCGTTTTATTGGAGGAGTTTATTTACCATGCAGCTGAAAACCAGTGAGTTTCAGTGCTTGTTCACTGAAGGACTGAATGGACTCGCTGGTAAGACTGTGGACATGACATCTCATAGACACTTATTCACTACATTGTTTTTATATCTTTTATCTTACACTCATACTGTTATTGATTCAATTTAACCAAATCACACACTAGCAGTCCAACAGATAATAGTAAAGAAATAGTTATGTCTGTAAAATATCGTTATGCCAAGTGTTTCCACGTTTGGGACACTGGCATGTTGTGTTTCTCACCTGTCACATTTGTATATTTACTTTTCTAGAACTCTTTCAAAAGAATAAGTATGAGCTGCGGATTGCTGGAGGCGCAGTGCGGGACCTCTTGTCTGGGAAAAGACCTGATGATGTGGACTTCGCCACCACAGCTACTCCAGAGGAGATGAAAAGCATGTTCCAGGCAGCGGGCATTCGCATGATTAATAACAAAGGAGAGACGCACGGCACCATCACTGCCCGAGTGAGAGGCCAACTGATCTACTCTGCACACTATTTGACCATTTTAAAATTGCTTATTGTTAGTGTTAAAGATTCAAATTGAAGTTTAAATTGTGTATTATAGTTCCATGATTTACCATCTTAAAATGCTGGTTTTGTCTATATTTATGTACTGTAGGTTTCCACACTGTTTACAGATTGAGTGCATTGTACATGTGGGAAGTGAGGTAATTTGATTACTATTGTGGTCCTAGATACACAATGAAAACTTTGAGGTGACTACACTGCGTGTGGATGTTCTGACAGACGGGCGACACGCAGAGGTAGAATTCACCACTGACTGGCAGCAGGATGCAGAGCGTAGAGATTTGACCATCAACTCCATGTTTTTAGGTACATACCTATGATTGAATGAAAGCTGTGTTCAAACATGTGTGTTTTTCATTGTGGTAACCAGATTCTCCATTTTCACTGTAGGTCTTGATGGCACATTGTATGACTATTTCAAAGGATATGAAGACCTGCAGAACCATAAAGTTCGATTTGTGGGCAGTGCTGAACAAAGAATCCAAGAAGATTATTTGAGAATATTGCGCTATTTTAGGTTTGTAAAAGTGTATTAGCTTTAACTAAAGTTAAGTAGTAAATCATGGGGACTTTTTACCACAGGTTTTATGGCAGAGTGGCCTTGAAACCAGATGAGCATGATCCAGGAACACTTTCTGCCATTAAAGAGAATGGCAGTGGCCTGGCTGGAATTGCAGGAGAACGCATCTGGGTAGAACTGAAGAAGATGATTGTTGGCAACCATGCAGACTCTCTACTGGAGCTGATCTACCACCAGGGATTAGCACAGTACATAGGTACAGCGGTCATTGACTGCATTTTAGTTTTTCAGTTCTGTTCTGTTATTTACTTTACCCTTATTTAACTGGGACATTAAACAATACATGTATTTTTCAGATTTTAGTTGAAGATTTTAAAGTATCATCCACAAATCGGTACTAAAATTTTAAAAGAAAATGGGCAAAACTAATACAACATTTGAGTGATGGGGTTTCTGTGTTTTTCATAAAAATAGTGTAATACAACTTGTAAGATCAGAGATCCTTATTTTAAATGCATAACTTGTTAAATAAGAAGGAATCAACAACTTTGTAAAGTCTTCCAAGACGACAGCTGTTTTGATTTAGGGCTTTACACAAATAATGTAAATGGAAATTGAAATCAAGAATTACTGCATGCATCAAAGAAATTAGTTCACATGGAAGTTTTAATGTTATATTACACTTAAAGACCTTATGACGGGTTTGATTTATTTAGAAATACAGTTTTAATACCATTTTATATTAGAAGAGAACTACTAAAGGTTTCAAAATCAGTTGTTGTTTTTTTTGTCTGATCCCCCCAAATCGAAATAACCCCATAGCAACGCCCTTAGAAACGAAAAAACTTCACAGCCCTTGGTGACGTCAGAACGGGTAAGGTTTAACGCTGTAAGTTGTTTACAATTTGGTATTCGTTCTTTTTTCGCGGATATTCAAGATGACAAGGTGGTGTACAGCGAGTCTGACATCACTACTAGAGTGTATCATTTCGTTGTCACTGAGATAGTCCAGTGGTTGTGTCGATGGACTGTCAATCCAGATACTTGGGTTCAATTCCCACCTCGGACATTTTTTCACTCTCAAAACGGCAATTTATGTGTAGTGAGCAATTGTCACCTGTAGAGGGCAGTATTGTGTTGGGCACCAGTGGAGAGAAGAGAGAAAAGGCAGTCCTGTGGCATAGATCCATGGTTTTCAATGCATGGGCGTAACCCGCTATGACGTCACACACAGGTTAGAGCATAGACAACTTAAATTCATGAAAAACACGTTCTTTTTATAAAATATAGGATTTTTTTTGCCGGAATCTCTTTCAAATTGACATTGTCAAGCAATTTTGATATCCACTATTTTTTTTTTTAAAAACCCGTCATAAGGTCTTTAAATATAAATAATGGAATCATGAATATATTTTTTCATTTTCCACAGGTTTACCATCAGGTGGCAACCTGGAGGAGTTGCAGCGAGTGTGGGAGAACTGCAAACACCTTTCCCCCAAACCAATGACAGTCCTGGCGGCACTCTTCCATTCCTCTGAGGAGGTGGAGAAAATGGACCTCAGGTTGAAAGTGTCCAAAGAGGAAAAGACTTTGGCCCTGTTCCTGGTCAAGTACAGAAATGAGCTCCAGAAGGACAGAATGCAGCCTCTCAGCATCAAACCTTTCACTGACTTCATCATAGACGTAGGTTTTCATCGCTCTTGTTTAAGTTTTGTGGATTAGATGAAGTCATGTGGCCTTACATTTGCAGAAAGTGTTGCTGGAGAACATTGTTTGTTGTGACAACCATAGCGTGTTACATAAGCCTGGTTTAGCACCAAATTGCCTTAATCTCTCAACCGTATGGTTCCATAAGGGAAAGACAAATGATTGCCAAGGCTACAGTCACCTCCCACAGTAATGTAATTTGAAGAATGTTGGAGGAAAAGTGGATGTGAAAGACAAGGGTCATTCAATTACCATCATCCCCAGGCCAAAGAAAAAGGCTCTGGTGAGACTAGGAACTGACGACAAAACAGACATTCTTATATCAGATATAAACCGCTTTGAGACTCAGATCTGCAGTGAAAAAGGCGGTATATAAATAAAGATTACTTACTTACTAATTACTAATATATAATGCATATTCATTGTTTTGATATGGCATTAAGCAAGAGGCGAGAGCAAGAAGGCACTCGCAAACAAATGATCACAAAAATAAGTACTGGATAGAAGCAGAAAACTTGTGTTCTTGCAGTGCCTGTAAATAATCTATTTCAGACCCAATGAAAACTGTAACATCTATGCTTTTGTCTGAACCAATGGGGGCTCACAAATTGGGAAATGTAACATAAATATATAAGATAATAGAACGTTTGATAGAATTCCGGTGTAAGTATAAAATTCATTCAATTAACTTGATACAAAGTTTATATTCCAAAAGATCACAACCTTTTTATATGGAATCTCAATTTTGATCATTGCACATAACTTGGTCAGGTGCATATCTTTGAGTTTAAAAGGAAGCGAGTGCAGCACATTCAGTAATTCTACTGAAACAGCTTGCATCTCCACAACCCTGACTCATACTTCGATGAAAAACTTTGATCCAGCAAGTTTATAGTCTATGGCACAAAAGTAATCTCCATCAATCTTCCAAACTACCTGATATTGACTTAATTGCAATCTACATAAAGATACATACTCAAGTTAAAATGTACTTTCATTTCTATGAAAATACTGAGTAGAAATCCCTTCTTGGTTCTTTCCTTTTACAGAGTCGAGAGTTGGACAGCCAGATGAAGGTGTGTGAGCTGCTGAAGTACCAGGGCGAGGAGAGGCTGCTGAAAGAGCTGTGCGACTGGACCAGCCCTCGATTTCCTATTAGCGGCCACGACCTGCGCAGGATGGGTGTCACATCAGGGAAGGACATTGGTACCACTTTACAAAAACTCCGGGACATCTGGAAGAAAAGTCACTATCAGATGGACAAGGAGGAGCTGCTGAGCTACGTCAAGTCTTAACAGAATGGAAGTCAAGAGCAGGGTGTGGCTCTTTGGTCAATTGCTCATGTAATTATGGCACTTGCATGGATCGATGGACTAGAGCTGACAAAAAGAACCGGCTGAATGGACCCTGCCTCACAAGTGACGTAAACCTTTATGTAGAATCCTGCAAATGTACGAGATGTCAGGTGTCTATTTTAAGTTTGTGAACCGTAAACCAGCTGCAAATCTCTATATCCAGAGAAATGACCGGCCCGGTTGCACAATGGAGATAAGACCACTTAGCAAATTTGCAATATTCAATTTTGCATGCGTGTCATTTGAAGACATGTAACTAATTGTCCAAATAACATTGGTTTTGATTTGGAAGTTTTTTGGGTTTTTTCCCCGGTTACGGAAATGTTGTGTTTAATTTGAATTCCTTATTTGAAATATATGATATGCTTATTTATATTTTGTTTAAAAACCCCAAGTAAACCTGTTTGACAATGGAATGCTTTAAAGACTGTTCTTCCACCCCTACCTACACATCTACACATTTTGAACTTCTAAAATGAGGCTGACCTTTGATAACTTGGCACAACGCGTTTTACTTGTTGATTTAAAATGCCGTCACGCTTGTTTGATACATGAACAGTGAACTAATGCATTGTGCATGACTAGCATACATGAACTATTACACTCATGAGACCCAATTATAACATCTGGTTACAAGAGCTGAGACATATTTGGCTGTGTATTTAATTTCTTACCTTCTTCCAGTGGTGTTTTGTGTGCCACTCATGATTTACTGTGAACCAGGGCTGACTATAAGGTGTTAGTAAGCGGTCAAACATGAAGGAATGTAGGAACTATGCCACACTGGTCCCAATGTCCAAACCACACATTTAACACTCCTCCTCCAATAGAATAAAATGCACTTCTATGATTGACTGAAGAGAAACCAAAATGTGTAACATACCACAAGTACACAACAAGAATCTTACCCCTGGTATTTAGTGGATATCAACAATTATTATGGCTCCTTATAACAAGATGGAGCATTTCGTTTCTCTGCTGTCCCTTCCATAACCTATATTTTGTTTGGGCCAATCATAAAGCACACATTAATTGAATAAACAAGGGGGGGAGATTACGCTTGTATTCTTTTAATGTCTAATTGTCCAGCCTGGATACATTTGTACATGTTTTGTTCCAGGCAAATTTCAAAATGTTAATAAGGTCGACCATAACAAGACTAAAATAGTACTTGAGAGTTAGGGTAATGCAAACAGGATATCGACATTTACAACATGAAGATTCAGCCAGTCTTTATCTGTTTGCTTGATGTTTGAGGGCAGTCTTCTTGCTCCTCCTTTCTGCAGACATAACGCGCTCCCGTTTGGATGACTACAACCAGTTGCGCACCCAGCTCCACTAATATTTATCTTCAATTCTAAAGACGATTTATATGCCTTCCCAGTGTTGATGTAATTGTGGGTGCTGATAACGTTGCAGGATGTGCGGGTGGGAGCCCTGCGTCTTCATGCACAACATGTCTTGGCTGAGCGTAAACGGCACAAACTCGAGCTTGGAGCGCGCACTGGCTGAGGATGAGCCGCGCAACGAGGTCTTGGCCCGGGTGGAGATCGCGCTGCTGGCTGTCATCTTTGTAACTGCGGGTGTCCTGAACGCAGGGCTCTTGTTGGTCCTGTGGCGGCGGAGAAAGCAGCTGTCCCGGATGCGTGCGTTCGTGTTCCACTTGTGCGTCGCGGACCTGGTGGTGACTTTCTTCCAGGTGTGCCCGCAGCTCATGTGGGACATCACGGATCGCTTTGTGGGGCCAGACGCGCTGTGTCGCTTCGTGAAGTACATGCAGGTCGTGGGCATGTTCGCGTCCACTTACATGATCGTGGTGATGACCGTAGATCGCTACCAAGCCATCTGTAAACCTATGGTGACTTTCCAGCGGCGCACGGCGGGGTGGAACGGGCCAGTGTGCGCGGCGTGGTGCGTGTCCTTCCTGGGCAGCCTCCCCCAGATCTTCATCTTCTCCCGCTCGGAAGTGGCCCCAGGTGTATATGACTGTTGGGGTCAGTTTGTGCAGCCATGGGGACTCAAAGCTTATGTGACATGGACGACTCTGGTCATTTTTGTGCTGCCCATCTCTACAGTGATCTGCTGCCAGGTGCGCATCTGCCGCACAGTGCACATCAACTTCCACATGAAGATGACGCATGTGACCTCCAGGGCCAGCAGCGTGGCCGGGATGTCCAAGGCCAGGGTGAAGACCGTGAAGATGACCGTGGTGATAGTGCTGGCGTACGTGCTGTGCTGGACCCCCTTCTTCACCGTGCAGCTGTGGTCAGTGTGGGACTCACAGGCCCCGACTCAGAGTACGTTTCATTAAACACAATGCTTTCAAATTATGAGACCCTTTATTCGTCCCATGTGGGGAAATTGCAGTGTTGCATCACAAGTTACAGAACAGTGGGTTAGGATTAACTCTATAAACATAGATGAGGAGTTCGTCTGCAAAAACAAATAGTTTTTAAAAACAATGTTGTATTCTTCTATTTACCACGTCAAAATGTTTTGTCATTAGCAGTACATTTGAAAGGATTTGTTCAAGAAGGTGTGAAACTTAATTTGTAAGGCAATAAAATAGACGTGGCTTTTCAAAAAACTACTTTTAAAAGGTAAATTATGGGAGTTTAAATGATTTTTCTTATGGCTAATGTTTTTGCAAATGAACCATTCAAATGATCAAATACTGTGGACTTTCCAGAGATGGTCTTACTAAAAGTGTAGTGAATAATAGACTTCTGTATGCGCTGAAGTGAATTCATTGATAAACCAATTAATTTTAGAAATTGTAATCTTTGAATTTGAAATAACAATTACAGTTGTGTGAATATTTAATTCTATACAGAAATGGTGAACATAAAAGCTAAAAGTTAATCACAATCAATACATTAATTAACTTAAAAGCATGGCTCGCCACTTGCCACCTGTAGGCCCTACATTATGACTAAGTAATGGTCATCTTAACGTGTAATATTAAGATGAAAGTACAGATATTTGAGATTAAAAGTAAAGAGTGAAGGTAAAAGTTCTTAGAAAAATAAGGAGTAAAGTAAATTGATACAAAAAAATGCTTAATACAGCACTTAAGTACAGTCGCTTGCCACTCACTGCTAGTCTCAACACATCCTGTTGATCATACAAATAGCCTAATTATCCATGTTCACTTGATCTATGGGTTAAATGCAAGTTTCTATTATATGAAAAAGTTCACATAATGTATATTTACGGTGGTGTCATGTCTCATCAAACCTACTAAAGTGTTTTGTTGCAGCTGCCACCTTCACCATCCTCATGCTGTTGGCCAGTTTAAACAGCTGTGCCAACCCCTGCATCTACCTGCTGTTCAGTGGGACCCTCCCCAAGGGTCTTCTGACACCGGTGTGTCTGTCCCAGGCTAACGACAACAAAGAGCCCAACCAGGAGGAGGCCACCATGGTGAGCTCCATGTACATCAGCCTCAAGAACCTGTCCGACTGCAGGTGAGATGATAAACATCAAAGTGAAGAAAGAATCCTCTGCGTAAGTTTGACGTTAGTGCTGTAAATAAATTAGTATAAAAGTCTATCCAACATATAGACCACGCATTAAAACGGTCGATCTCAGGCTCAGAAGAAGACATTTTAAAAATCTACGAATGTTCAAACAAGAAATGTTTTTCTGTTTTTATTTATTTTTTGTTGATTTATTTTGGTGTAAGATATTTCATGAACACAAGATGTTTCGCTTTGTGCAAAGTGCATTTGAGCATGTTTTCAGCAAATTAAACCTGAAGAATAAATGTGCTTGATGTAAACAGGAGTCTTTTCAATCAGAGTATCTACCTCTACATTTTTTGCTTGTTGTAGTTTATTAACATGTAGTGAATGTGTTTTTGATATATATGTATACTTGTTTGTGCAAAGCAAGTGTTCATTGCACAATCAAGAGCTTCAACTATGGATTATTATTTGTATTCAGTAATAAATGGTCCAAGTGTCTACTTATGAAACTGGCTCTGTGATTTCATACAGTGTTATGATTTATCTGTTGCAACACAAAAGATTTTAATAAATATAATGTTATATGACTATTCCCATTGACGTGTGGCCCATATATAATTATATATTATAATAGATTTGATTGTATTTGGTTGTCACAGATATAATATAATGTATAATGTCCTTGTCATTTCTAATAAACAAATTTGCTTTTATCTGGATTGCTTTTAAAATGGTCTTCATGCGGAAATCTATTGTGCTTAAGTCTTTTAGTGTAGAAATATTATTTCCTCTGGAAAATTCTAATACTGCAAGCCACATTATCAGGGCATTTGATTTTTCAAAATGTCCATTGTCGTCAACCATCTGAACATAACTATCTGATCTGTATGAAGCTCCTGGGCAGAGCATGTTAGATTTTCATACAAATCTAACATGTAGTTTACACAAAAATATAATTGAAAAACACACATTTGAAATATTCATATTCCAACTGGACTTTTTTATAATTTTCATTTCATTTAGTCCCTAATTCTGGCTTTTAGACAGTAGTATTTCTCACAAAGAAATTCTAAGATAAGATTTTAAATGATTGATTATTCAGGGATGACAGTACCTAATATAAAGGACTGTTGTCGTTCGGCACAACTCAAACCTCTAATGAACCTTTGAAACCCTGTACCACGCTCGATAGAACGACACTAAGATATATTGCTCATGTCTGATCCACCACCACTGGAAAATAGGAGAAATTAGGTTGAAAACTATATGCACAGCTGGAAGACTTGGACACCGATTCTCAGTAATATATTACAGGCCTATTCAATCATTTCAAATATGCAAAAATATTCATATCCTCAAAAAAATATCTTAAATTAATAATTCTACGGCAATCTGAGGAAGCATTGAGGTTTTTCCTGGTATTCTTGGCCCAGTTGGTGAAGATCAAGACGTAAAGAATTCTACTTATTTGATTTTCACATTGGAGAACTTCACAGCCACCGCCCTGATTGAAGGTTAAATGATTATTTACGTGATCAAAGATTTCCTAAACCAAATGTTATTTATAAAGCACTTTTCATACAAACAATGCAACAAAAGTGCTTTACAGTTTGGTAAAAACAATCCCACATGCCCATGACCCCAAGTACACAAACACACACACACACACACAAATGGGATCTTAAAGAGGCAAAAGGAAAACAAATATTCAAAATTCAAGTATTTCTGCAGGAGCTCCGTATACAGGGTTTACACCAGCTACAGTCGGCAAAAGTGTGATGAGTGATGACCGGGCAGGCGCCCCGCCAACTCAAGACTTGTTCCTAATTTTTCTTATATCAGAGGGATAATCACTTATGCAGTTTGCACTCTTAGAGGTTTATTATTGATCAAGGTGCTGAAATCAGTTTGCTGATGTTAATTAGTACTAATTATTACCCCACAACATAATCTAATTTAATGGAGTAGTTGCTGGTTCACTTCAGCTGATTAATCATCGCCCACATGTGCTTGTAATATTCTCACCATTGGAAATGTTTTAGAGCTGTACATAACATGCTCATGCCGTATTTTTGCAACTTGGGATAAATGTTACAAATTAAATGTGTCTTAATTTGCAAAAGGGTTATGATGTATGATGTTTTGGTCCAACCTTCAATTATTGTAGCAGAATTGTGCTTTGATGTGGCTGAATCCAGAACCAGCCAGATCCATATAAATATACAACAATAATGAATCCACATTCTTCTGTGCGGACATGCTTGAAAACAAATATTTTGAATAAAAGTGCTGGGCTCTGAAATTACACATGTTTGATTATAGGGCTTTGAATAAAGTACTTGTAAAAGTTTAACTGATGGAAGGGTAAAGTGGTGCATAATGCATGTTTTTGACCTGTGCCTAATTAAAAGACATGCTGCAGTGAGTCCATGACTGGAACTGATCTTATTAATTCCAGTGAAGACGGAGGGACGCCTTTGTTAATCAGAGCTGTGATCATCTCCAGATTGGGGAATGGGGCAGTGGGGCGCCCTGCCATGAGCCTGCAGCTGGTGCTCATAGACATCAGAGAGGAGAGTTCAGGGCACCCCTTCCTTTACAGGACAGTCTCACCTAGGACATTCACAAAGTTTCTCAGAAGTTTTTTATTTATTCATTTATTTATTTTATTTGCATGTTTAAATTAGCTGTATACAAGTTGTGCTAACGAGTTTGCCGATACGGAAGTACCGGTTAATAACATAATAGATCCATGGCGCAGCTTCGTGAACACATACTGCTGTATCATAAAATCTTAGGAAGGTCTCTGAGCATAGAGACGCTGCCGAGCTGCACTCTTGGTGAAGAACTCTACATGAAGCCACTAGCGTAAACTCGCTAGCCTCAACGCCCGCCCACCACTTCCTCTGGAACATGGCTTTTCCAGGGTGGCCAGAAGAGTCATTGATTATTTTAAAAGCTCAGATTCCTCCAGAACAGGCAGCACACACCTCTCAGTCCTCTTTGCCGAGCCGAGCCTTGTTTAGAGTGTGATGTTACCAGACCACACAGTCACAGAACCAACAAGCAACCTTTCAATGGTACAGCAATAAAAGTTAAGCAGGATCTTAGAGTATGTAGTGAATTTCAGATGAAAGAAAAAGCTTTCATCATAACCTGATAGTGTTTTTGTCCCATTTCAGGTCAATGAACAGAATGAAACCCAGAAACGTACAACTCCTCTATAATCTGTACTTGGGAGTTATCGATTTCAACAAGCATGAGAACTATACAATTACAATACAACTTAACAAAACTGTTGAAATCGCCAACACAGATTAAAAAATCAATGGTTAAGACAAAAAATATAGAGCACAAATGTATTGGTCCATATGGAGAGACCAATGTCCATGAATGTTGTAGAATGTTAAAGTGTCCTTCTGCATCGGCAAGGAAAAACTCTTACCATTGACTAAAATCAAATACAAGGTCATACCATTGACTAAAATCAAATACAAGGTCACATGTTTTAGATGCAGGAGGTTGCTAACTTTACTCCACTAACCAACATTTTGTAATTGTAAGAATTTTCACTGTTATCACTGATGAGACCAATGATAGTGGTGTCATCAGCGTATTTGATGATCAAGTTCAAAATGAGGGGGACTGGCTGATGCATTTTACTACTTTCCCCGTGTGCAGAGGGTCATCTTCTTCAAAGAAATCTTTTAGTCTGTCCCCATAACTGCGCTTAAAAGATTTATTTGAACGTTTCTCAGAGTGACAGGATAATTTTTAAGCAACTGCATCATTCGGTTGAAATCCCAGTGCACCCCAATGCCCAAGTGTAAACAGCACATATGACGGAAAACTCCTGGGGAAGATAAAAAAGGCACATCTTATGACTTGGGATTCCAGATTGGCATTACATGTTTGGTTCACGATGGGACTGTCTCACACCTTCACCTCTGGATTTCCTGGATTTCTCCTTCACTCTGTGCATGCAGAGGCAGTGCATGGCACAGTCCTGGGCCTTGTGCCGGCTCTGAATGCGGCTCAGGAGATCATCCGATTTGTTCGGGAGAGACGGGGCGTTTTGCAGATTGATGGAGGGCATATAGGGATCTTGGAGGAGCTGCACCCGGTTTCTGCACCCAGTCCCCTTCGCTGTTCGCCTGTTTCCTCTGGTTTCCTCATGTGGGGTACCCTGTGACATTATTGCATCTCAATTCACGTAAGATATGTGACATCTCATAAACTTGAGTGAAATGTATCGCAAGTTGACTGATGTTGGAGCGGTCCTTCTTACAAGTTTTCAACTGACCTGGGTCGATAAAAACAAAACGATTGGATGTTGAGTGTTGGGTATTGGCTGGAGTCTGGTTGGTATATTAACTCCAGGTGCTATATTTTGTTTTTCTTCATTTTTCACAGTCCTTCCTATGCACATGTGTGATAATAATTTGGGTGATATACCACACAACACACTGGTCAAATTTGAGCCATTTTGTGCATAGTTGCGACATTACCTCATGTGAAACTGTTGGATCTGTGCTCCTCTGTCTGTGAGCCCCCCCCCCCCCCCCCCCCCTCACGCTAACCTCAAGGTAAACAAGTTAATTGTACAGCTTTCGCAGTTACATAGTAATTTCGCACCTGAGAATACACTTTTTCCAACAATGGTCCATCACATAGAGTTCTATGTCCTCAATCCAGAATCAGACCCTAATTATTTAGTTCACAGTGATATAGAGCAAGTTAGTAACATTGTACTCACAGACGAGGCTCCTGTTATGCCGCTTTTCCACAGTAACCGTACAGTACAGCACGGTACGGCAAGGCACGGCGCGGCACGGCACGGCACGGCCGTGTGCGGGTACTTTTCCATTAAAAATAGTACCTCTTCAGCGTGGGAGGGATTGTCAGACCACGTCATATATGTGCAACGTGTGACCAGTAACAATGGTGCGGTGCATGGATTTATTATAATATCGATGATACCTGGTTATTACCTCCGAGGGGACT